GATGAAACTATTGGTAAAGGTTGTGAATTTACCTCAACTAAACTGAGAATGATGATCTTCTCTAGCGATACGCAACCTTCCTCTTTCTGATAGCACACAATAAGACGAAGGAATGTAATGTAAAAATGCTATCTTGACCTTAAGCAGAGTTTGATTTATCAGAGAAACCCATAACCATGGAGGGAACAAAAGTGATGTATTTTCCAGATAGAGAGATCGAGATCAGAATCTAGAAAAAAATATGGAGTGACTGAGATTCGAGGAAGAAGAGAACATTTATTTGGGAACGAAGTCCCCGACGAAAGAAAGAGAGATAAAAATGGGATGCCCAATACTAACTCTACAACTCCCAAATTAAGTATCGGTTCTCTGTTTTTTTATTTTTTTCATTTTTTATTGGGAAGACGAGTTATTTCCCCATGAAGTATCACATAGCGCCAGATGTCTCCCAAACTATCGCCTCGCTCTATATCTCCCCGAGAAAATAGTTCTATATCTATTTCCCCATGAAACTTTGAAACAATACTTATAACCCCCTGTGAATTTAGTTCGAGACTTGTTTCCCCATAAAATTGGATTAATTGGTTAACTTGGCTTAAGTAATACGAAAAGGTTAATAAAACCGGCTGTGGACCAATAAATTACCCGATTAAGATCCGAAAACTTGTATCAAACCATAATTAAAACCCAGATCCGACACACTTCTTACCCGATAAAATTTAAAACCCTAAATCGAATTGGGTAAAAAAAAATCCCAAATTACAGAGAAACGCTTGTGAGGAGAGAACGATTCTGAAGTTTGAAAGAGACAATTGAAAAAGGAGGCAACGAGAGATGGCGTTAGAGTTAAACACAGATGGCGGTGACACTTTTGATGAAGAAGCCGAAGAGAGAGGAATGAAATCGAGCTACTGTTGAGAGACTTCGTGGACGAGCCTTATGTCCGTCATGATGAGGTTCCAGAAAGCGATAATGAAGACGAGAAAGACTTGAAGAAGGTGCCAAGAGACACTACTCACATCAAACGTGGTGATGGAAGGCTGTATAATAAGCAAACGTTCCTCAATGGAGTGGCTTTCAAAGATTGTGTGCTCGATTACGCACTGAGAACAGGCCAAAACATCAAGCAATACATGTATGATAAGGATAAGATAGGGTTTAAATGTGTGGGTCGCAATGAAAGAGAAGGTTGTGAATGTCAAATCTATGCATCAGTTCTCCCTAGGGATAATGTGTGGAAAGTGAGGGTCTTTACGGATCAGCATTCTTGTGTGCCAAATGGAGACTGCACAATGCTAAAAGTCCCACAGATTACTCGATTATTTATTGAAAAAATCAGAGAAGAACCCGAATATTATATGCCCATGAAGATTGAAGAAATTGTTCAAGATAAATGGGGAATCACGGTTTCAAGGCCTCAGTGTCAAGCTGCTAGGACGAAGGCTCTTAAGTGGCTTGAGTGTGAGTATGATCATCAGTTCTCTCGGCTTCGAGATTATGCGGCCGAAATAATTGAATCAAACCAAGATTCTACTGTTGAGATTGATACTTTGACAAACACGAAAGGAGAAGAAGAGTTCAACAGATTCTATGTTTGCTTCAATAACATAAGAAGAACATGGAAGGAGACATGTAGGCCTTTGATTGTTATTGACGGATGCTTCATAAAACACAAGATCAAAGGACAAGTGTTGGTAGCTTTAGGAAGAGATGCAGATAATGCAATATATCCAGCGGCATGGGGTGTTGTTCAAGTGGAGAATATAGAGAATTGGTTATGGTTTATGAGAATGGTGAAAAAGGACATAGGATTGAAGGATGGCGATGGTTTTATTCTGATTTCTGACCGTCAAAAGGTAAGGTTATTTGTTGCTAAATGAAACTGAAACATGGACTGATTATGGTCTTGGTTGTTTTGAAACAGGGACTGATTAGTGCTGGTCAAACGGAGTTGCCTAATATAGAGCATAGAATGTGTGTTAGGCACATCTATGGAAATCTGAAGAAAAACCATGGGAGTAAAAGTGCTATGAAGCCATTGATATGAAATTTAGCATGGAGTTACAACGAGGCAGAATTTACTCAAAGGCTTGACAGGATTTTCAATTATGATGTGGGTGTCTATAATGATGTTCAAAAGACAAATCCTAAGTCTTGGTATAGAGCATTCTACAAGTTGGGAGCTTATTGTGAAGATGTTGAAAACAACTCAACAGAGTCGTTTAACAAGACCATTAACAAGGCAAGAGAGATGGCATTTGTGCCTATGTTAGAGACTATAAGCAGACTTGCCATGGCGCGTATTGCAAAGAGATATGTCATCTCGCATGGCCACAAAGGTGCGATTAAACTTTGCTTATATGTATTATATTTTTATTTTTTTGTCAGATCTTATATATGTATGTTTCACTTTGTATTTTCAAAGATTTGTACACCTTATGTGACAGATTTTCTTACGGCTGAGAAGAAGAAAGCTTCTGAGTGCAAAATTACAAGGAGCACCAATGGAACCTATGAATCAAAGCTGAGTGGATGTACTTACCGTGTCAACTTGGAGAAACTCACGTGTACTTGTATGAAGTTAGAGATATGTGGCATTCCATGTGAGCATACATATGGAGTCATTCTCCACAAGAAGCTTACAGCAGAAAATTTGTATGTGCTTGGTTTCGGACATCTATGTGGAGAAGAAATTATGTAGATGGACTTGTTCCGGTGAGAGGTGCTTCTTTTTGGCCTGCAACAGGTGCTCCAGACATTCATATTCCACCTGAGCCTGACCAACCAGGAAGGAAGAAGATAACTAAAGCGGACAAACAGAGAAAGAAAGGTGTTAATGAGTCTCCAACAAAGAAGCAACCAAAGAATAAGAAGCGTATTATGCACTGTGGAATTTGCAAAGAAGCAAATCACAATTCAAGGTTTCACAAGAAGAAAGGTCCTTCCCTAGGCGCTTCTCAAGCTGAACAAGGAGAACAAGGAGCTTCTCAAGCTGAAAATGGATGTCATGTTATTTTAGGGTATGAAGATATGTGTTGATGTTTTTTATTATGCTAGTTGTCGGCTTTAGTGTATGGTGGTGGTGGAATGCTTAAACTTTTATATGGGATTTTGTGTTTTGTGTTTTGTTTTGATGTTTTTTATTATGCTAGTTGTCTCTACTTTTGTTGGTTTCTAAATGACCATGTGCTGGAGCACTTTTGTTGTTTGAACAAATGTGCTTTTGTGTTTTGTGTCTCTACCTTTGTTGTCTAGCACTTTGAACCAACAAATATAAAACAAAAGACCATTTAACAAGCTCGTTTGTGATGACACAGATCATACAATACCATTACAACCAGAGATAAAAATCTAACACATAAGAAGAAATACAGTTTTAGACATAAGAGATTGTTTGTGAACTCACAAAGATACAAGTGCACAACACCAAACAACCCACATTCTTTAGAACACAATTACAACTTCTTGTTACATAATAGGACCATTAACCCAACCACAACCACACATCCAATGCCGAAAACAACCATCATCTTCTTCATCTTTGTATTAGCTTCAGCGAAGATCTCCTCAGCTCGATCAAATATTTCCTTCTCAATCTTCTCAAGGACCAAACTCTCTCTTGCAATCTCTTTCAGTTCTTGCTCAATTCTTACGTTTTTGGCTTTAAGTGCTTCTACTTCATCTAATAATGCCTCATCAATCCACTTGAATATATGCTCATCATTCTCTAGCTAAACAAATCATTACACAACACATATCGATCTTAGCAATTATTTGAAACAAATATGGGAAAACTGAGAAACATTACTCATAAAAGAAAACAAATTACCCTTTTCCCTACAGCATACACACATCAGAAGTATCTTCTGTAAGGATTGGTATTCGATTTTGACATCAAGGGGATGACGGATTCGCCACACCAACAATTCTTTGGCACACCTACAAATTTTCTACACCGTCGACGTCCATTAGAAGACCCAGAAGAAACTCGAGACATGGAATTGGAAGACCCATACATCACTCTTTATTCTAGCTTTCAAAAATCTGAGGAGAAGAGAAACGAAATTGATAAATCGATTTTAGGGTTCCTGGTGTGATTTGGGATTTTAAAGAGAGTGGTGAATGGGTCGGGTCTTTCTTGGTTTAATGTTAAGTTCCGAACCGTTTTTTGGTTTGGTCTCGTCATTGTACCAATAATTGTATTAACCAGTATTGAATTAAGTTTCATGGGGAAATAGATATAGAACTATTTTCTCGGGGAGATATAGAGCAAGGCGATAGTTTGGGAGACATCTGGCGCTATGCGATACTTCTCATGGGGAAATAGCTCGTCTTCCCTTTTTTATTTTGTGTTTCGCTTTAGAAACCCACTTAAGAAGTACTAATGGAGGTGGTCTAAGAGCATGATTAACCCATAACTCCATTTGGGTCTCTTATTCATTATTTTAGTAATTAAAACTAATTAAATGTTACTTTTATTTTGGGTCTCCAATGGTAGTATCCTATTTTGGGGTTCTTAAAATTCAAGATCGTGAAAACCAAATGATAAACAATGATATCAACCTCTTTATGGTTCTCTTATTAGTGCATGTGGATGTTTTGTCGGCATCAACACATATCCAATCTTTGTAATATTGGTCGTTATAGATACTTGAGTTTGTGATGGAGGAATGTTCTTCTCGTTATCTCTCTACTCAATAACATCGTCCAGGAAACTGTTGGAATGAACAATGTAAAAAAAATGTGTATTCCTCACTCTTGTCACTTGACAGGGATAAAAGAATCTCTTGAAGCAGTAAATAAGCTGTCGTATTCGTGAGTATCAGTGCTAATGCTGTTGTTCTGATTCTTTTCCTTTTTATTTGATACATTAAATAAGCATTCTCCTTGTTTGTCAGATTTGAGAAAATATATGCAGCTACTTGTTCATCAGATGATCCTTTAGCCTACACAGAGAGGGAAAGCAATACTTGAATTAATCAAGCATCTATTCTTCTTAGTCACAAAACCAAAACTATTACTTTCAACTGTGTTGATTCTTCTACTTGGCTGAAGTTGCACATGCTATCAACCTTAAATGATCTCCTCGCTGCAAACACAACAAAGACATATAGAAAAAAAAACTGAATCTGCTTGATTCTGAGATGATTGAGAAAAACTAAAAGGAAGTGGCTTATCACGGAATTGAGATCAATCAAGATTCCAGCAGATACAATTCAACATTTAATTCCTAGAAATTTATAATAGGTTCTTATTTTTCTTCTTCTTGCTGCTCAAATTTAGAAGTAACAAAAATCCTTAAGCTTCTATTTAACCGACTGAGAGTAACTGGAACGAATCAATGAACATAATTCAAAAACGTACGAGAAGAAGTATAAATTGTTTCTGATTCGAACCAGAGCTCCGATCGTTGTTTATCGCATCTCGTGTCTTCGATTTCAAGATCGTACCATTGTGGAGCCGTGAAATCATAAGTCTCATATATCATCGTTGTCGTCAAGGAACCGGCGGTTTGGTCCTCTGTTGCCGTATCCATATCTCCGGCGAAAAACTAGAGAGAGAGAGAGAGAGAGATTGAGAGTTAGAGTAGAAGAAGAATCTGAAGAGAAGAAAGTTTGTTACCATAGAGAGAGACTGATTCGTCGTCGTAGAGGAGAAGAACCGACGGATTTTCTTACTCACCTTCAAACTGATTTTTGCTCCCCTCGTTTTCTCCGACCAAAAGCACTATCAAACCAACACGTGGCATACAAGAGACGTATATTGTGTTGCTTGATTAGGATACGTCACTTATAGTAGTTGCCATTTTTTATTTTCTTTAATTCCTAAATAAACTAAAAATCCCTTCCAAAATAGGCTGATAATCATGGTCTAAGTAGTGTTTCAAAAAAAAAAAAAAATCATGGTCTAAGTATCTATTTTTTCTCTTCATCTTTAAAAAAAATTTAGAAAAGTTAGAATTTTGGACCTTAATTTACCTATGGCATGGAATTATCATGCGCAATACCAGGAACATGATATAAAATATTCACTTTCACCGTATTCAAATTAGGAACATTACATCGCTTAAACCACTAATTTACGGTCTACCCCATCCAATTGTATGTATATTTAAGTTGGATGATTTTGAACCCCTTAAACTTTAGGGTGAAATTTCTTGTAACTCCAATTTTTTAATTTATACAGTGATTTTCTATAAATAATGTGTTATCAGTTGTAGTACGATCTGAAACCCAACTTTACTTCTTTCAAAAAAGTGACTTCATTCTTGAATTATAAGCTTATTTGTGAATGGTTACGTATGACTTTTTTTGAGTTTCTGCTCGGTTAATTTGAAAATGATAATACACCCACAAGAGAATGAGTGAGAAACCAGTCCATCAATAATTTATTAGATAGATTCCATGATTATCAGTTATCATCATATGATTTAATATCAATCCCTCCACAAAACATGATGATGATGATGATGATGATGATGATGTCAGCTCGTTTTAATTCAATACAGCCCATCACGCCGTGCTGTCATTTAAAACAGAACAACTACAAAAATCAATTCTTCTCTTGTTTTCTGCCGATAAGCCAAATATGTTTAAAGCCCATCTTGAATTCGACCCGACCCATGTTCCAAGATCCCTTGGATCTCTGATTAAGGTTTCATCATCTCAAATTCTCACTTATTTATGGACCTTCCATTTGTATGTTCACATGTTTTACTAGGCTTGAGAATATTCACCATGTGTTGCATATCTAGAGTAACAATCATAGCTCTAGAGATATTTTTTTGTTACATTTTGTAGTTAGGGACTGTTTATTCGTTGCCCAAACACAAGCCAAAGATCATTGGGGGGTTTCCTTAAGCTCTTATAACTTAAAATTTATCTCTCAGCCCCAACATCCAATGTTTCTTTTGATGCTCTTCATGAGAAACATGAGACCGAGCTAGAGAAACTGAAGTTGACATCATAACCCTTGAATACATGAATTAACTGAAGCTCTTTCTTCAAATTAACAAAGTATATTTTACACCAATTTTTTTATTTTAACAAAGTATATATCAACGATCAATAATATCTTATATTGTGTAGCTCACAGAGGTTGGTTCTTGCATGCTTATAAGTATATACACTACTTGCATTTGGTGTTTCGCTTCTGATGGTTGATGGACCTCATGGGAAGGTATAAACTATTTGACTTCTTCATTTGTAGTTCTTATATAGATATAATCTTAGCACAAAGTGTGGTTTATCAACATAACGATTAACGTACAATTTGTCACATCTTCGACTTGTCTTGGTTAGCGTCAACCATTTCTTATTCTAAAATACATTCTGTAATCCTCCAAATTGCTTTTACTAGTAATTATCCTTTTTCGTATGTTGGATCTTGTCTCTATTCAATTTTCCCTCTATTTAGAGGATCCATATCATCTCACTGTTCACCATAAAAGCAACGCAATATGCACTGAGCATGTGAACGGATCCCTTCGTGGCTTGATAATGTAGTCCTTGTTCATTATTCGGACTACATTAAGTAGATAATGGTTTCCATGCACTAGTATTAGTATACTGTCACATATTCATTTAGTGGCAATTCTGTGAGGTACTGAGACAGCTCTAAGGGAGCTTCCTCCATATTGATTATTAGAAAAAGACATCATTTATATTCATACATTATCTCAGAAATAAGTCTATATATACAGTATACAAAACTACTTTGTAGGAATTGATATTATATCATTTATTCATTAAATTATTATGAAATTCAAATCCACATATTGAATAGAAGATAGTTTGTTGATAAAAAAAAAGAATAGAAGATAGTTTTCTGAAATGTTTTACAAATTGGTTAGTCAACATCTAGTTACTTGATTTTGGCCACAACCACCGTAGATTCAGTGTGCAAAGTGCAATTGTTTAAAAAAGTGATTGGAGATATATCTTTCAACTTTCAAGCTGTTATCTGAGACAACTTAAAAAAAAAAAGATAGTTTAAATGATCCTTATACACCTACCTAAATACATTACTTATTAGAAAACATCATTTATATTCTTATACATTAGCTCATACATATAAATAAGTATGTATACATATAGTATATAAATCTCTGGCATCTAATTTTTTATTGAGGATCAAATCCCAAAGACGAAACCTAAGTCCTTACAAACTAAAAAAACATAAAAAGCCAAAAACCAAAAGGGAATACAAACTATCACCATTGGACTGTCGGCCCATCCAAAAAAAGATACCACACAAACCACACGTCAATAGCTTTGCATGAAACAGACACATGTCGAAATGCTCAAAACCGAGGAGACACGCGTCGCAAGGCCGCCACGCCTTGACTCCCATCGAGTCACCGCCGGTAAACCGAGCTATTTCCTCCGGAGAGCGTCATCGAGATCCCATCCAGAGCTACCACGATCCATCATTGACGAATTTAAACACCACAAACATCTCTTACTTCTTCACCATCTGAATCCCTTCGATGGAGAGCTTCAATTAACTCAGGTCGAGATCTCATCTGAAGAACGAATCCATCAAACAAAATGAAGCCAAGAGAATCACACAACCCATTTCTGAGATTTAAGAAATCTTGAACCTTCACCACATACTCTTTCACCGCTGAAACAGATTGAGGAAGCCGAATAACACCCAAGGGAGAAAGGTCGTAGTCGGAATCAGAAACCGGCCGCCTTCATCGAGGTATAAGGTGACGACGCCAGAGACAAGAGCCAGCCAAACAAGATAATATCGTCACTGATGCTGGAAGAAAAATAAGAACAAAAGACAAATACAAGCAAAACTAAAGCCGGACCAACATTGGTTGTGGAAACCCACTCCGTCGGAATGTTAATCAATTCAGATGCTCTCTAGAGAGAAGTCAGAGATTTTCTAGAGAGAGGATACATATAGTATATAAATCTATTTTTTTAGGAACTGACATTATTCAATTTATTATTAATCTATTATAAAACTTAAATCTACAGAGACGACAGATAATAGTTTTTAAAGTGTGCATGTCTTCGGGGAAGGAAAAGGATCAAGATTTCCTTCTGGTTCAGTTGATCGATTCTCTGACTCTGGGACGCGGAAGCTTCTACAGCTCTGTTATCGACGACTTATGATCCTGGAGGGTGGAGGCTCTCAAAGCTCTGCGTTTCCGACGCTCCGTAAAAAGCCCCGTGTGATTGGGTTTTGGTTTGGATTTCAACTTGTGGTGTGTGATTTGGTACATCTCTTGTCTTCGGTTTGGTGGTTTCCGCTAGGATGAGATCTCGATAGTCGATGAAGCTCTCCAATGACAGTGCTAAGGTGAAGATAAAGATGGTGTTTCGAGATTTATTTCCTTGTGGGTGGTTTGGCGATTCAGATGAAATCTCGATTCAGTTCGATTGGATGCTCTCCGTGGAAAAAAATCTCCAAGGTAAATTCATTGTACGCAAAACAATTTTTGAAAAGAATTAACCTAGATTGTGCTTATTGGCCACTTAAACATTGTTCCCTTTGTTTCATAAGAAATGTCATTTTAGCATTTTTATTTTGTTTCTAAATAAGTGTCATTCTACATTTTCAATGCAAATTTTCATATTAAATCTCTTTCTTTTCCTTTTAAATAACCAATAGATGCTTAATTAAATATTTTCATTTAAACAATTATATAATAAATAAGTATATATATTAGTATATTTTGTTGTTTTTTTAATATGCGTGAAATGTGTATAAGTGAGAGAAACGAAGGGAGTATTGTTCTATAAAAAGTCTAATTAGTGTCTAGTAAATTTTCTTGAACATTGTTTTTTTGTGTATTTTAACAACTTTCACTTTTTTAAATAAAAAATCTGTGAAGGCATATTAGACACAGCTATCAAATCCATGTATCGGTAAACACACTACACAGTAAGAAATCAAGTCCATGTATTGTTTGCATTGGTTTACTCCCACGCTTCTTTCCTCAAAACTCCATATCGTCACTCTACGTGTTGTAGATTTCGATTCACCCCTTACGTTTTGTTTAAGACTTAAAGTAACTGACAGAAAAACATTTCTGCATAAAAAGAACGATCAACAAAGAAAAACTAAAAGAAGAAAGGAAGATGGTAAAAAAACAAATCTAGAGGTGCTAATTTGGCAAAGGTTGTACGTTTTTTGACAAGTTTGCACGCGTTGGGTGGGCCCTTGACTTCCTTCCACCATTTCCATCTGTCTCAACATTATTTCCATTTTCACATTTGACAAACTTTGTTTTTTTTTTTGACAAAACTTGTCAAACCTTGTTACATTCGTTTATTAGGTAATTACATTTCTCCACTGCATCTGAATCCGACACGAATCACAAATTCATCATACTGTTTCATTCTTATAAATAAATTCTAATAAACAGAGCCTAACTACATTGTCCACTAACTGACGATCCGACCAAACACAGAACATGTCATTAGTTTACATACGTTCGCTAGCTCTGTGCTATTTTTTCCCTAAAATAATTCACCATCACCAAAAGCACTCAGACCCTTCTCAAGAAGAATGAATAATTTTTTTGTTGTGAAAATTAGAACTTCAGTGGTTTTGCTTCTTTTTTTTTGTTTTTGGAATTGAACCTGTCAGAATAATATAAACACTAATTGTACACAATGCTTCAAAGCACCTCCCAAAAAATTGTCATCACTTGCGAGTGGCTTGTCCCGTCTCTTTTCTTCCAACTTTAAAAGTCTTTCGTCTCGCCAGCACAAGCTATAAACCGGAACTTACCCAACCATTCAGTGTCTATTTTTTTTTTTGCTTTTTAAGTTTAAAAATGGGGGGTTTGGGGGTTCTTTTCACTCACCCGCTTGTTGCTTCTGATCTACGGGCTTAACCTGAACCGCAGAGGGAACCGCGTGTACATAAGTGAACCCTGGCGGCCCCAGCTGATGTTGCTGCGTCTTCCCCATTCCACCTCCTCCGCCTCCTTTCACGTTATTCGCCGCTGCTGCTGCAGCTGCGATGGCTTTCGCTGGATCTGAAGTGGCAGTTACGACTCCTGTTGTGCAGCCGGAGAGGGTGACAGGAGTAGATGTGGCGCCGGCAGCAGCAGTGGAACCTGGCTGTTGCTGATGTCTTTGAATGTAATAGCCACCAGACGGAGATATTGTGATCTGCTGCTGTTGATGTTGAGATTGCATGTAAGGATTAGAAAAGAAGAGCTGAGCTTGCTGCTGCAGCCCATGCTTTGACAACTGTTGCTGTTGTTGTTGGGACTTGGATCCAGAGCTCGTGTTGGGGTTCCCGAGAACTGAAGGACCATTACTCCTTCCACCACCAGAAGACGCCACGGATGCAGACTGTATGTTCTTGGACTGCTGAGATGATGAGTGAGTAGTTGAAGAAGCTTGTCCAGCTTTGTTCACCGCTGAGGAAGCGGAAGCAGCTGTTCTTGGACTTCCGCTTGCGTTTTTGGAGACTGACGATGTAGAAGGTGATCCAACTAACATTGGTGGAGACGGAGCTCGGTTGTTAGCACCTCCTTGCATCTGTTGCATTGGTGAACCAGAGGCCAAAGGTTTCGAGTTTGCTGCAAAAGATATCTGCGATTGTTGGGGACGGCTTTGCTGTTTATGGGAGACGTTTCTTAGGGACGATGCGGCAGCAGCAGCAGAAGATGATGGGGACAGTATGGAAGGAGACTGAGCTTGGGAAGTGTTTGTTGCCCTTGGTGAATTGTTTTTCCACTGAGTTGATTGCACCTGATTGCTGCTTGACTGGACAAGGTTCTGAGGAAATCCTGAGTTGGCATTTGGAAACTTAGAGGCTCCCGCAGGTGATACGGTGATACTGTGATCAGGGAAACCACTCCCATTATTCGCCACTGACCCTTTGGTTCTAGCAGCAGACGCAGCCACTGATGTTGCATACCGTTGCTGCTTCTGGAGATACATAGTGGGGTAAGGTTGCTGAGATTGATTCCGTTGCATATGCTGCTGCTGTTGTTGTTGCATAAGCTGCTGCTGCTGCTGTTGCTGTTGCATAAGTTGCTGTTGATGAGAAGTCGGCATAGAACTGGAACTCTGAGGCAGAGCAGAACCAAGGTTGAGCAAACGGGATGTATCAACGATGCTACCACTCGGTACAGCAGAAACAGATGCATCAGCCAGGTCGTGTTTGTTAGAGAAAGCAATAGACTGCCCACCACTCGTTTTCCCTGTTGCTCCTCCTGTCTTCCTTTGTTCGTCCACCTTATTAGCAGTAGCATTAGACCCAGATTTTCCATCATCAGAAGGAGAACTGTAGTTCATTTTCTGTTGGGCTGCTTGAGCTGCGGCAACATTCGCTGCCATCATTTGATAACCTTGCCTTGCTGCTTCCGGAATGCTGTGGAACATAGGGTGATTCTGAGGAATTGATGACATGTTCAGGGAAGGACCACCACTACTAGCTCCATTGAATGTCGCAAAGGTCATAGCATAACCCTGCGACTGAAACGATTCCATACCAGCCTTTGAACCCTGCTGCTGTGATTTCTTTTCACCCTGTTTGCTCGAAGATATGACCACTCCACCTCCTTGGGCTGCTGAACTCATCAAACCCAAATTCGTTGGCTGCATCTGCATACCATAGTTCTGGCCATAAGCAATACCGGAACGAGAAGACCGGCTATCAGCAGTTGATGGGCTATCTTCTCCTACAGTCTCGCTATGTTGAGTCGCATTTTCTCTAGGTTGCTGCCTCTGCTGAAAACTCAAAGGCTGAGATTGGACTTTATGAGTTGGAAAGCCTTGGGAATTCCCATGATTTAACGGTGGCCTCAGCTGCTGGTTCTGCATATGCTTTTGTGCAGCAGAGGAACTAGTGGAAACACTTCCATTCTGGTTGCTTGGAGAATGGCTCTGGGGCATTTGACCAGCTTGCTGCGGTTGCTGTTGCTGCTTCTGTGGCTGAGAAAACGGAGGCTGGATCATTTGGGAGGAGTAGAACGAACCATTAAAAAATGGCATCGGCTGTCCAGGAGCTCCTCTATAACCAGGTGGTGCACCAACATGCGCTGGGACAGGAAACGGATAGCCATTATTCTGCAAAATGGCCAGGTACTGCGTTTCATTGCCCGGCATGCCTGGATAACTGAAGGTCATTGTTGGGGCACCAGTTGGAGTAGCTGATGCAGAGCCACTCATGGAGTTTGCAGTAGCTGTCGCACCAGACGAAGCTGTGTTGCCACTATTAGGAGGCCTGACAGATGCTGCGGCTGCATGAGGCTGTTGGCCCACGGGGATAATGAAGGTCGGACCATGCTACAAGAAAAGAAATAAAAAATGAGGAAAAAAAAAAATCAGCTCGCAAGGACGACAAAAACTTGGAATGACATGCTTAGATGGACAGCAAAGAAAGACTAACCATCATGTTATTAGCTGCTCCTGGAGGCAAAGCTTGTTGGAGCAATAATTGATTTCTCTGAGCTGTATCTGAGCTTTTGGAAGTAGATTGAGAGTTCACATCTGGAACAGGATTGGAACTTCTTCCCAAAACAGCCCCCTGCAGTTCTGTGGGAGGCATGAGACTGAGATTGCAGGTCTTGGTCCCGTACAATGGAGCTGAGCCAGCGGCTGCAGGCCAGAAAGGATTCATCTTTGTGAACTGCTGATGGGACTGAATATTACGAGCGATGTAGCAGTGTGTTGCACATCTCTTAGGCCTCGGTTGATTAAAGAGTAAATGTGGAGGAGGCTGAAAGAGATCAGAAGTTTACAATGAGTAATGAAATGTAGAGAAAATTCTTCGAATGCGTCAGAAAGATATCAATAATACCTGCATTGGTGCCGACGATAAGGAGCTAGTATCCGTAGGCACAACACCTTGTGTAGGTGGCATGTACCTACATTTAGTTGAACACAGAGTTTTCTATTAGTTGAAGTGAAACAAAAAGAGACTTTACAAAACTTCACTGACTAAAACTACTAAATGCATACCCCATTGTAGGAAGACCTCCAGGCCAGCCAGGCATTGACATATGCAGAGGCATAGGGGTAGCTTGAACTGGAAAATTCAGGAAAAGAATGAAATTAAGAAACCAAAACTTACGCAAGAGTAGGAAACAAGAGAAATATAAAAAGAGGACTATTTACCTGTTTTATCTGGAACAGGTAGTAGTTGTTGTTGTGGTGGTGCCTGTTTCTGAACATGATGCTTGCTTACTACAGCCACATGATCAGATTTATCCAAGTCGAGTTTCAGTTCACAACTCCTCTCTGACTTAGGAGGTTCGGTTTCAGCCACCACTCTAGGTCTCTTCTTCTCCTCAATAATCGTCGCATTACCTACATCCTCCTTCAGCAGAGGCTTCGCTTCCTGCTTTTGATCATGCATAAGAGAATTAAAAAAAAGGGGGGGGGGCAAAAGTGAACAAGATAAGAAAAGAGGCCCAAAGTAAAAGAAGTGGAAAAGTAATGATAGATAATCCGCAATTATGACAAAATTACCAAACAAAAGTAGGTCCCACTCACCGTTTCCACTTCCGTGACTTTAGGGTTAGCTTCTGCTGCCACACATTCCATCTCACCTCCTCTCTCCGATGTCGATTTAACCGGCGGTGGCGCCTACACCGATGAAAAATATAAATTAAAAAACATTTCTTTAGATAATTATTTTTAAAATAGGAAAAAAATACAATTCAAACAAAAAAAAAAAGAGAATTTTTTTTAAAGAAAAAGTGGAAAAAAATCTTAGAAATAAAACAAAAAGAAAATTGAAACTTACCATCAGATCTATCTCAAACTTCTTCTCCTTTTCCGGCGAACTTCTGCATGATTAAATGGGAGACTTGTCTGAGCACCAGAATTAAGGGTGAAAAAATCGGAAAAAAATATATAGAATGTACGTATACTTACGTTTTAGCCCCATCACCATCGGATTTAAATCCTGAGGAAGTTTCCACTTTTGGCGATACTGTTTCCTCTTTCGGCGGATTATTTTCTTTCTTCTCCGCTGATCTCGAATCTAACGCCACGTGGCTTTCTCTAGGCTGTGGATTGGTCGAATCCAACACCGCGCTGTTTTCTTCGCCGGATCCCGATCTCTTCAGCTGATCACCCAACGGAACTTGACTTTTCGACGGAGCTTCTGCTTCGGATTTAACGGCGCGTGACGGTAAACTCGAACTGTTCTCGTCGTCGTATTTAACAATCCTCGGCTTCTTTCTTTTCGGAACTGAGAAAACAAAAAATAAAAATAAAAATGAGAAAAAAGGACAGATCATCAACAGATCGTTGTGAATGAAAAATGACATACCAATGGCGGAAACATTAGACGAGCTTGAATTTGCAGCGAGTGTGATGGTGGAAGACTGAAGAACAGTTTGTGAGTTCGAGATCGGTGATGATACTCTCGATTTGACATCCACCGCCGCTGTTTTCGCACCTTCCTCACCGGTGGATTCTTGTTTCGACGTGGCTAGAGGCATCCGCATCATTCCGTAAAGCACCTCTGCAATCTCTATCTCGATCTCGTCTTGAACGGCCACCGGAGATGAAGATGATACCTTGCTCGATGATGACTTTGGCGGGAGCGGCTTTTGTTTTGTCCCCGACGACTTCAAAATCAAGAAGAAAAAAATGATTTAGATTTTTTTTTAAAAGAGAGATAAGATGAAGAGATTGAGAGAACGAACCATCTTTTTCCGTGCAGAAACGTTAGATGAGGACGGAGACGTAGGAGCAGGAGGAGAGGGAGACGCTAAACTAGCTCTAGCCGGAGACGAAACTTGCCGGTGGTTTTGCTCTCCGGAAGCAAATACACCACCGCCGCCGCTAGCATTAGACGCCCATGATTCATGCGGTCTCTTTGTACAAGCTGTAACCAAAAAAAATAAAAAATCAGATTAACAAATGAAACGAGATTAGATCTTCTAAAAGATATATTCACCTCTCTACCTGACCGAGCTTTTCTAGGAACGGCTACACCGATCATCTCATCCGCAGCCTTCCACGACGAGACCAGAGGCGTCACCGTCACAGGCGCCGGAGAAGGAGGCGATCTGAAAACTTTCGACATCGGAAGAGGAAAGTTTTTCCTCTGTTGGTTATGGCTATGGCTGTGGTGGTGATGGTTGTGGTGGTGATTTGAAAGAGAAGACGAAAACGAAGCGGGGGAGATGTTACTCGAGGGAGGAAGCATCTTTAACGAAGACGGTGGTCCTCCTCCTCCTCCTCCGCCGTCGTCATATTCTTCATCGTCGTTGACACTCTCTTCCGAGCTGTCGTCACCACCGTCGTCTAAATTACCACGAACCATCACTAACCGTTCTCCTCTCCTTCTTTTACTCCGGCTATGTAACCGATCTCGCTCTCTATTATCCCTTTCTCTTTCCCTCTCACGGTCTCTATCACGTTCCCGATCTCGTTCCTTCTTCGTACTCCCTCCTCGATCTCTCAGCCTCGCCGCCTCCGGTAACTCCACAGGACCGTCCTCCTCTGTAAACAAAACACAATAAAAAACATTAGAACCAAACCGTTTGTCTCAGATCTGAAGAAGATGATGACACAAACCTGGAGAATCTCTGAAGCTACCGGCTCTATGCCTCCGTCGTGACAAGCCATTTCCGGCAGCCGCCATCGGTACTCTTCTAGCTTCCCTATTTCTATCCATCTTCCTTCTCTCTCTATTTCTCTCTCTTTCTTTCTTCTATCTCTCTACTTGCTTCCCATTATCTCATCCTTTATTTGTGCTCCTCATAATAAAAGCAGTAGCGACCCGAATAAATCCACGGCTCATATCTCCTCCCGTATAACCTTTTCTTAATCTCCACCGTCGGTGTGGATGCATCCAACGGTTCAAATTTGTTTTCTACCAGCGTGACTACATCTTGGCCCTCCATTATTGAGATCTGACATCAATAACCGATATTTCCTCTTTTATTATTAGCAAAAACGTATTCTTTTATTATTTTAGTAGTCAGCATCTAAGGGGGCCCCCCACCAGAAAATATTACTATATATTAACTTTTATTTATATTGCTGTTACCATATACTTTTAAATTCGATATTTTTAATAATACTATTTCCGGGTTCATGTGAAAGAAAAAGTTATCAGGACTGTTATCAAAGTTATTAAACATTAAAATGCCACGTGTCAAAGTTTGACATCGCACACTTCCGTGTATGTTATCGCTGCCAATTTTTTATTGACTTTATTGTGTCGAGAATTAAAAGAAATGAAAAGAAACACTAAAGATATTGCGAGTCTCGAACGAGAAGATAATAATATTTAACTCTAAATAAATATATATTATTCTATAAAATTATAGCTCCTGGGGTAGTGTACTGTTGTCCACTAATCGCGATGACTCGTGTGATAAAGAAAACAAAACACTGACATATACACGCACAAAGATGATATTATTTTAATTCAAAATGTGTCTCGAGAAGATGTATCACCGGCTACTACCGGTGCCAAAAAGACCTTGGTAAAGGCGATCTGACGATCAGAATGGAATCTTTGTGACCACCAATTCACACCGATCCAACCGGTAAAATTAATCATATCAGGTTCCACTTCTCACCCTTTCTTCTCCATTTGATGTCCTTTAACAAAATCAAATGGCTACTAGTTTTTTATTGGTGGCAGTAACTAAATATTTCATTGGAACTGCAGTAAATAAATTTATTATTGTCCTTTCTAATAACTGTTGTACCTTTATTGTATGCTTTGCTTATTATTCATCCATGTAATAAAGAATTAACACCTTTTAAATTTTATTTTTGACACTTAATGTGTTAGAATTTGATCGATAAGGCAAAATATCAACTGAATTAATTACAAAAAAAATCTTATTTAACTACTAAAAACCTTATTATCATGTTTTAAATTAAAATAAATCAATTGAGATAGAACCAATACATTGATCATTCCGTGGTTAGATGGATAAATTAGTCAAATTGACATAACTGCAATAAAATATATGGTCATAGATGGATATTTCTAAAATTGAACAAATGATATAATAGTGTCTAGATTTTTTTAATTCAATTAGGGAAGACAAGCTAAACAATAAACCTATAAAGTAAGCAACTTGGGCCCAACTCAGTCTAAAATATAATTCAACTCATTAAATATGGATCGACGGCTGTGACCATTTGTTTCCAGTAACGAAATGCTCTCGTAACCGTTAGATTTTTTCAGTTTTATTGTTTCCATAATTGTTTAAAAACAATCTGACCTGGCAGAAAGCGTCATCCCGTAAAACTTTTAAAATGTGTTGAGTTGGCACCAGACCGGTTGATCTGAGTCGTTCATTGAAACAACACTAAACGGCTCAGATGAGAGGAACTTCACTCAAGTCGCGGTCACGGAACTTCCCAGAAGTGTGGGGCCCGCAGTTAGCTGCCAATGTGGATTTGCTCTTCTTCCTCCTTTAAATTATTTTAATTATTTTCACCCTTCTTTCATATTTTTATATCTCTTTTGGCTTTTGTTTACTAAATATTAAATTTTAAAAAAATATATATCTTCGATGAAATTTTCTTAGAGTTCGGTTGATTTAAGGAATTAAAATTTTAATCTTATATTGTTGGTAATAGTATTGATAATTATATGCCTAAGAAGATAAAAAATGCTTCAAATGAAAAAGAATGATGTGTTTTAGTTTAATTTATATTATTCTTGATATTTATAAGTGTATTACTTTAGCTAAATAAATTATTTGGTGTATCTGACCCCCCCCCCCAAAAAAAAATGTGGCGTATGATAGTTATTACGTTATTTTCATATTCTGACATGGTCCAAAACGTCATCTTCTAAGATGTATGAGTACAGCAAATCGTCCGTGGGAGTAAATAGGAAAATAGATATACGAAAAGATTTCTACTTTTAACTTGACAACCAATAACGTTATTTTTGAATGTATCTATTTTAATGACTTATTATTAAATTTAGCTATTATTTTGAATATTAAAAAATGCGATGAATGAATGTGTCGTGTATTAGGGCCCACGTAAAAATATTAGATTTTGTAATTAAACACACAGCAATTTTTTTGGTCAATGGTCAGGATCGTAGTAATAAATTACAGTGGAGTAACAAGACTAAAATAGTACTCCCTCCGTTCCTTAAAGATACATATTCTAGGAAAAAAATTTGTTTCTAAAAGATCCATTTTTTACATTTTCAAGGTATGTTTTATTAAATAATTGTAAATTTTAAAAAACTTAATTGCACTATTTGATTTTTGATTGGTTTAAAATTATAGAAAAAAGATAAATACAAAAAACTATGCAAATTTATTGTGTTTTATTAAAAAGTGTGCAAAAGCTAGAAAATGGATCTTTTAGGAACAGAGGGAATAGAATATATATTTTTAGTTACGAACAATACGCGCTACGAAGCGCGTGTATACCAATCAAAGGTCATCACGTGGCTTCAACCTCACGCCACGTGGCAGATTAAAGGCGCAACGCATGGACAATCGCTCTCTTTTGATTCGTCTGCTTGGATCTTGTTTCTGTCGAAGCTACTCCTCTTTCGCGTTAATATATCTCCGTGGATACAATCAAGGACACAGAGTTAGAAGTGAGAAGCTAACCTCACGGCCGTTCACGCTTGATATGCGTAACAGCTACGCTAAATGCTTACGTGTTATATTTAGAGTGGTGTGATTACGTTATCTTGTAGATGGCGGTCATTTAAATACCCTTACGATTGTTGAATAATAAAATAGTAAAGAGCATTAAAAAGGCCACGTCGGAGTACTGCATCCCGCCAAATGAGTTTGTCGGGTTTTTTTGTTTGCGATTTATTTTCCTATTAAAACTTCTTGATGAAGGAACAAAAAAAAACCAAATAACTGATGTGATTCTGAAAAAAGATAGAAAATACTTACTACTACTAAATATTGACAAGTTTAGGTAACACGTGGTGACTTTTGGAGTTATTGCGTTTCGCAACGTCGCAACTATTTTGATCGCTCGCTGAACCCTAGCCGTCGGAGGAAATTTTCTCCACCAGACAATTAACCATTGATTACATAAAGCAATTATTTTCGGGTTTTAATAAAAAAAAGTATCATATTGGTGCAATTTAGTTAAAAAACATTTCAGTTTAAAATAAGTGGACAATATTTTATGCTTTGTCGTATGCGAAGATACTTTGATATAAGGAAAATGCCTTCATTAACGCACTAAGGCCATCGAAAATTTGAATTTAATTATTTTATACTTAAACCATACTATATTGGTATTTGAATCGTATCTTTTGTTTAAAATATTATTGGATCGTAGATCATGATAGAGGCATTTAAAATAATATACACCGAACATGGCACCATGACTGTTTCTTCTATTTTATAATCATATACTATCATTCAAATCTAGAAAATGCAGGAAAGTACACAATTACAAATATATTATACTATGAAACGAGATTAATTAAGTATGAACATTACTTTATTTTAGAAACAGTTGACAGATAGAGGATAGGCAACTGAGTAGGACGTATTTGTATTAATTTCTTATACATATAATTCGATAGTTAGATAAAGAAAGTCAAAATACTGAAAATACTTTATACCAACATATAATGTCCTGTGTAGGACATAATTTATCATTTTCTGTGTTAATAATTGATGAGGGAAGAAGAATGTGGAACCCCTTTTGCTTTTCCTCTACCATTTTGCTGATGGAGAAATAAAATATTTTTTTTAAGGTTATTGCTAATTGTTATACTAGTATTATTTGACCTAAACTGCCATGATAAACTGAGAACAATAGCCAAGATACTCTTATTTTAATGGATACAACTATATATCATTATTTTGGTGGCATTAGAGTCTCTGATAATTTTGAAAGAAAGTGGTTGTATATTAGTTTTTGGTTTGCAATAGTTTTGTCCCGGTCACATTTCTGTACACATAATCACCCAAATTATAATACTTTGATATTAATATGATATCATCAGGACCTCTGCTTTAGCTCTCTCTCTCTCTGAGATTCTAGATTTAAATTTTAGTGTTCTATCTTCTCATTTTTTTCATATATTTGTAGTTTCGACTGGTTCCAGAAGGTTGCAATCGTTGTCGGCCTATGACTCCGGAAGCAAAGTGTTCTGTGCCGGTTTGTGTAAAAAAAATTCATGTTTTTCGATTTAATCCCATATATAACAAAAGAAAAAAGCTTAACTTTTTCTAATGTTTTAAATTCAGTTATGTTTTCTGCTTTATATCTGAAAGGTTTGAAAGAAAGAAAATAAAGACACATAGCCTATTTATAGGATCCCACTCGGTTCGCTCGCTCTCTTTATTAAACTTTTCATGTGTAAAGAAAAGTTGTAGCAGAGAGTTTAAAACGTCCTGATGTTTTTGATAGTATGGAAAATATTTATTGTTTATGGTGAGTTTTTGTGTATGTAAACCAACAGTAAAAGAATAAAAGGAAAAGATAACATAAAAACAATAGCCCATATAACCCATAAAATATAAATCCAAATACATAAACGCCCAAAAGCCCATAAAATGTCATAAACAGCATATTTTTGCAAAAATATAAAATTCAAGGAAAGCCAAGTATGGCTCTAGTATAGGTAATCCGTGATCTATGTACAAGAGACACAAGAAGAGGCAGAGTTTTCCAAATTATTTAGAACAAAGCAAAAATATAACATTCAAGGAAAGCCGATTCCAAAGTATGGCTCTAGTAGAGGTAATCCGTGATCTATGTACAAGTAACACAAGAAGAGGCAGAGTTTTTCAAATTATTTAGAACAAAGTTTTTAAAACTTGCAGTAAACGAAGCCCTTCACACTCAAAACGAGATGGTAATTAAATTCAATGATATCCAATTGGAGCTGGAGCTTCCTTCAGTTCACGGCCTTGGTAGTGAATATCCTGCAAATAAACAACTTTCATTAGTCACACAGACGATGTAAAGTTTTACGTTTTGTCAACTCTGAATAAACTTACAGATGCAAAATGGTTAACGTCACGGTGATGAGCCTCATCAGCACGGACCACCATCACGACATCACGAAGTGTTGCATCAGCAGGGAGCCTCCAGTAATCAATAGCAATAGCCGGAGCAGGGACATTCTCGATGTTACCTTTGTCAAGTTCCTTGAGGAACTCAGTGTACGAGTGGATAGCTTCTTCTTCAAGGTACCCAACCATACGGTGAGCGAACTTGGGAGAGATCACGTAACCAAGGAAATAGGCATTGAAGAAAACTCCTTGGACAGTGATGACAAGAGCTCTCTCGTACCACTTGGGTTTAGCGACTTCCATGAAAGTCATGAGATGCATCCTCTCGTTCTCTGCTTCCTCGAGAAGAGCTTTGATCCAACCTCCGCTTTGCTCAAAGCGTCTGAGGGATTTGCAGTGGAGTAACATTCCTCCGACCATTCCAGGCACTGCTGCAACAGTTTCCAGCATCATAGCTCGGCATCCATATCGCCTCTGCGTTATATATATAAATGGATGTAAGAAAAATCAAATACAAACAATTCATGGCATTATGATCAATATCTTAACCGTACGTTTACAAAATATTTATATCATGATTTACAAATGTATATTATTTTTATTATAATTCTAATTGGTTTGAAACAAATAAAAGTTACTTTTTTTAAAGAATAATTCAAGGAACAAGTGGACGTAATATAAACGACACAATAAATAAAATACAAATGAAAATTTCCAATATAGAAATATTATTTTAAATAACTGCCATAAAAGAGGTTTATACGCAATCAATGACGACATCGGTTTTGGAACGTTTCCAATTTTCACTACAAGAACATTGAACCGGAGATGGTGGAAGAAAAGTGTACCTGGAAGAAGAGATCGGTAGGCAAACGAAGAGATTTGACAGTCCAATAAGCTAATTTATCAAGAAACGTCGTTGGAACATGATGCTTCGACAGATCTATCGTCAAATCAGCCTTGTACGTCTCCCATGGCTGCCATAACAATCCCAACAAACTTCAATTAATTATCATATTATAAATTCATAAACATGTAAGGATTCATATAATAGAATAATATAAACGTACCCTGAAGCAATTCCACTTCCATTCAGTACCATCCTCTTTAGTGATCTTACTCGGTTCAACACCCCAATAGCTAGCGATCACTTTCCCTCCCTTATCACCTCCACCGGCGGATGCTTCCTCCTCCGTCTTCTTCGGATTCGCATCCTGAGTTGGAGTTTTCTCCCCCAGAGTAACCGTGCTGGCGAACCTCACGCCTCCGATAGTCGGAGCTCGAGTAGTCCAGATCCAACCGCTCATGCCAGGGGGAGAAGCTAAATCCGCAGCCGCGGGTCTCATAAGATGGCTCGTCTCGTGAGACATGGAACGGATCGTGCTCGTAGTGGCGGTTGAGAATAACCGTGGCCTTGCAGCCTTTAACAGCGACGAGGCCGCCTTGGCTCCACCGCGACTCATCATCGTTTATGCAGATCGGAAAACAAAGTAAATTCAAGAATTTAGAATGATTTTGTAAGAGAAAATCTTTTTTCTTTCTTTCTTTTAACTTTTTCTGTGTGTTTATGGGTTTCAGATGCTAGCGAGGGTTTATTATATATACGTGATAAATGAACGGTCTGCGATCGAGATGGTTTAGCGTGTACCGAAGGAGATCAAGACAAGTGTCCGTTTTCTGTTTTGGTATTTTTAGAATGACGGGATTGACCCTGGTGGACGTGAAATGGACTTTGAGTTGTACTTTGCTTTGACTGAGGGTGTTTAGGTAAATTAATGGGGGTGGAAGATTTTTCTTGGAGACCAAGATGTTTGGAGAAGGCTGGAAGATTCTTGAGTGGTGAGCAAGAGCTAGAATCTCATTGGTTGAATTTAATGTTAACGTGTGGGTATTATTAGGCGCTGCGATGGGTTTATCACTTTCTCCAACTAAATAAAACAGTTTGGCGTTTCTTTATTAATTTGTGGACGGACATTATTTGAAAACGAAAAACAGCTATTTTCTGTTTCTTGATGAAATTTCTGTTTCAACTTACAGGTCAAAATTAGATTATATTTATTATTAATATAGCTCGAAATACAAATTTCTTGTAAATTCTGGTAATGTCCGGACCTTTTGATATTATGGCAATGAACGTTGGTAAATTTCTATCAAGAAATCAATTAAACTGAGATTTTTTTTTTTTTGGATCAAAGATGTTTGAACCGAATTTGGTGATAACAAGTAAATGATCGACGGAAACTCGTCGGTGGGTTATTACGAAGGTGTGAACAAACAAATGAGACAAAGAACATGTTTACTGATCGAAAAGAAAGTGAATACAAAGAGGACACCGGTGCTCGAGAGCTACCGGAGTTGTACGGAAAGATCTAAGAGCAACAAAATGAGTAAAAACACTAGTTTAGTCGCCGCCTATTCCATCTAATTTCGGATCCCTTATAAGCTTGGCATCTCTTCGCCTTTATAGGTTGTCGTACGGATAACCTAATGGGCCGTGTCCTTTGCACCGTGGGCTTCCTAAACGAGCTGGATCCGCTTGCTCGGTACGGACGGTGACGTGTGCACTTCCCGACTTCCTTGTCGTCTTGCAGACATACACTTTCCTCGCTTACTTGAGCCAAGTAATGGGCCGCAGCCTTTATTCGATGGGCCTTGAGGGTAGGATGTAAATATGTACCCTACAATAAGTCCCCACCAGTTCACTATGGTCGATGCGCAGGCTTAGTGAAATAAATAGTATTGGTCGGGAGAATAAATTGCTCAGTTTGAACTGGGACCGGTTAGCTGGGCTGGGGTGGTTCGCTTAGATTGCGGGGGATCGGTTTGATCGGAAGAGGAAGAGTCCCGGACCGATTCACGCGTTTTTAGGCATAAAGTAGACCCACTAGGCCCGATAGACCTAATTATGGCTCATTTAAATGTGCGTCTGCTTTCTCTCCTATAAATACTCCATCTCCCCTTCACTTGTTCAACTTCTTTGCTTCTCAAAGGTATTTCCTCTCTCTAGCTTCTCTCTCTTTGTACTATCCTTAGTTAGTGTCGGTTTATGTCTTCCGGTAGACGTTTGACATCGGCCGAGAAAGGTAAATCGATATTGGAAGGTTCTAGGGTTTCCGAGGAGCAAGCGTCGAATAGGCGTCGGGTTATTGAGTTCGAGCTAGCGCACCAGGAAGCTTTACGCGATCAGACGGGACTAGATCTTTCTCAGCGATTACTCGTCATGGTCGATTATGAAAGATTGCAGCGGGAAGAAGAGGACGCTAGGGTGCGTTCGGCCGGCGTATCTACGACTTCAGAAGCAGAGGAGAGTCCGATTGGCTCTCGAGTAAGGGATGCGCCTGGTAACTCTCCTTGTTCGGCAGACGAGCTCTTCGTCCCGAGCTCTCCCGCCCGACAGTGGTCGAAGGGCAGGATTGGGACAACATCCTCCAGACCAAATCGTCTGTCGAGACCGTGAAGACGGTTCTGAGGGAACGGGGCAAACAGGGTGTGACATTCATTATTCTGAACGCTAATCAGAGGCTGTAGACGCCCCGATCAGATACCAATGTGTCTACGAGTCGTACTTCCAGAAAGATACCCGATTATGGTTCCCAATCCCCCGACTAGTTACCGCCTACTGCTTTGGTCGGGACGCGGCGATCTCTCAATTCATCAACGGTTCATTCTGGTTAGCAGTAGGTTTTATGGTCATGGCTGCCGAAAGAAACCTACCGCTGAGTGTTCGGGCTTTCGAGGAACTCACCATGGCATCAAACATGAAGAACGGTTACTTCTCCGTGAAGATGCGATCGGGTTTGGGCATACTACTAAGCCCGCCGAACAAGACCAACGACTGGCAGCGTTGGTACTTCTCTGTGAAATCGGATGAGAGTGCATTCGAGGAGCCTCCGGGTGAGGACTACAGGGTCCTTTGGAACCCAAGCTTTGGTAGAATAGTTAGCCGAACCCGTTATCGTTCGTTCTGGATCTAACATGTTGTCTTTTGCTCTTGGTTTTGTTTTTGCAGTTCCGCACTCTAACACGATAGACTATCCCGAAGACTTTCTCCACGTTGTTCAGAAGCTTGCTCGTGCCACCCCCTTCGTTGAACCGATATCTCGTTCTCGCGGATCCACCGGTCTCTTCCCCGAATAACTCGAGGTATCTCATTTATCTGGTTTCTATCGGCGTTGCCTAACTTATTTCTCACTTCGAAGCTGACTTTCTCGGCTCTTTGTCAAATTTTTCCAGCCGACTGGAGATCTGACCTACGTGCTGAGGTTCGAGGTCGCAACCGATTACCTATCTTTCCCAAGGAAATCTCTTTTCCTCCGAAGAAAAGATGCAAGAAGAATATGAAGGAGATCCCGAGCCTCTGTGATATTTTGGAAGATGAAATCGAAGGAGCGGACCCCTCCCAAACGAGCGGAAATGCTCGAGACGACGTGGAAAGCACTCCTCGGGAGGCAGTCAAAAATGTGGTTGCTCGGGGTGATGATTAGGAGACTCCCCCGGAAGACAGAGCCGACCGCTTAACAAGAAAAAGGAAGAGGGCGATTGCCGATGCTCACGAGGGCTCGGCAGCTGAGGATATCAAGGCTGTTCATCAGGAAGGGAAGCCTACCGACGATGAAGACGAGCAAGCTCTGGCGGTTTCGGAACCTAGCCTTATTGTTGAGGACTCGACCTCTGCTCCTCGTCCGACGAAACAACGAGGGTCAGAGAGAGAGTCGAACAACGACCATGGTTCTCCATCTTATTCTGATGCTGTCATCGGGGATGGGGATGGAGAAACCCCAACGGAGACAGAGGAGGTGGCTTCTAAGAGTAATAAGAGGAAAAAGAAAAGCAAGAACTCCAAGTCTTCTGAAGAGAGTGAGCCTGTTCCAAAGGGCTAGGTTCCCGACGACGCTGCGTTAACCTCGTCCCCTCCCAAATCCAAGTCTTCCGAGGCTAGTGGATCCGCTAAGAAGGTTCAAGCTCCTTACGGCACTGCATTGACTTCCGCCCCTCCTGCTCTTCCCGATGACGTTCCCGTTGCGAATGCCGTGGTTCTCAGAACCGCGAGGTTGGTTCTAGAGAAAGGGGCGACGCTTCCTCGTCGTGTTTCGAAAGGGTTCGCTGATAAAGTGGACTTTCATCACGAGTACACGTCTCCGCTCTGCTCGGTGCCAAATAAATATGCGGAGTTGGTTCGCCAGATTTAAGGTGGTCCGAGGGAGCTTCCGCCGGTCTCCGACTTATTATTTGGGGACGAGTTCACAGATTTCGCCAGTGCTGACATCATGGTAAATTTGATGGCGGCTTTTCTTGATACTCTAGCATATCCTGATACTCTTCCGATTTTTGTCGCTTGCAGGCTATGGCTCGAAAGAACCACCTTGTAAATAAATACGACCGGGCTCTCAGGCAGTCCATGGAAAAGTGTAAGGAATTCGAGACTCGGGCCAAAAAGGCTGAGAGGAGAGTCGCGGCGAGGGATGTCCTTCTTGAGAAGCAGAAGAATGAGGTTCTCGAGGCAACCAAGAAAATCTTGAAGGAGAGAGATAAAGCGACTGCTCGTAGTCATGATTGCAAGAAGAAGGCCGATGCTCGCGAAGAAGAGGCGAGGGTTGCTCGGGAGGCGTTAGCTGACTCGGAGCGCGAGAAAGCTGCTATGGCTGCGAGCATCAGAGAGAAGGATCAAGAACTCAAAAGGTTTTGTCGATCCCGCGCTCACAAAGTTACTCTGGAAAGGGTTTGGGTTCAGACCGCGTATGTCTCGAAGTGCCAGCGCTGCTTTGAAAACACCCATGACAATATGGCTCGTCGTGATGCTTACGAGGAGAAGCGCCAACTATATGGTCAAGCCTCCAGTGTCAAGGACTGCCTCAAGATGATCAATAAGAACGGTTATCCCATTCCGAGCAACATCATCGGGGTCTTCGATGAAAAAGCTTCGAAGTATAAGGAGGAATAACTAGTATGGAAGTGGGGGATCTTCCCGAGACCAATCTGACCCTATTCCCCCTAACACTCCCGTCCCAATTCGTGGACGAACGCCTCCTGTCCGCGATTGATCCCTTTGGTTCTAACTCGGGGTTGATTGATTCTTCGATTGCGCGGAGTCTTCGTAGCCCGCAAGATAATCCTTCTGCTCCACTGGAGGACGCTTCCCGGGATTCCGTTACGGGAGCGAACACACTGCTGCAGCCGGACTCGGTTCCAGAGGATGGTCGAAAGGAAGGGGACTCGACCGCGCGGGGAGGAGGTCTGGGGGAGTAGACCGCTGGCACTGAAGATCCTATTTCTTCGGGAGAGGCTGTTCTGACATCTGAGACGGGAAACCTAGAGGCCCAGTATCGGGCTCGAATCAAGAGGAGTTGGGCGGGACCAACCGTGGCGACGTGGAGGTCAACGTAATGACTTGAGCTTGGGAACGTTGCCCACTTATTTTCTGTAATCTCGGTTAAAACCTTTGTCTGATGTAGGATTTCCGTTAAATTTGTGTTGTATGAACTCTTTATCAAACTTGTGTTGTATGAATCACTTTCTTTTGTTTAGAGCCAAAGTGTTTCAAAGAGTCAACACTGAGTG